CTAACAGAGCACTTCGCTCTCAATCTGCAGGTTTACTAGTGGTTCCTAGAGTTTCTAAAAGTAGAATGGGAGGCAGATCTTTTAGTTATCAGGCTCCTCTCCTGTGGAACCAACTACCAGTTTTAGTCCGTGAGGCAGACACCCTGTCTACTTTTAAGGCTAGGCTTAAAACTTTCCTTTTTGATAAAGCTTATAGTTAGAGTGGCTCAGGTTATCCTGAGCTATCTCTATAGTTATGCTGCTATAGGCTTAGACTGCTGGAGGACATAAGGACCCCCGTTTCATCATTCTGCTACATTCTATCTCTATTCTCCCACTCTGCAGAATCTGTTAGTTCAATCTCTAACGTTCTGCTCTCTCTGCTTTTTCTCATAGTAGCTTCATCTGGTCTGTTCCTGTTTGGCTGTGACTCCATCCTGGAGAGAAATATCAGCTGTGCTGCTTCCATCAACACCTTTGTTTATAGATTTTCAAAGCTTGGCCTATTTTTCAGTGTTTAGTCCTGTTTCTCTCCTAGATTTAGCTATGGGCCCAGCATTTAGTGGGACTAACTAGACTCTTTTTCATCTTTTAACATGAAAACTTGGTCAGAGCTCATCTGATTAACTGTTTCCTTTCCTTACAGAATCACCTGTGGAGCTAGTTTACCGTTAGCTTTTCTAACATAGAAAGTATTTATAGAACCCCAGTCTGCCTCTGCAGATGGCCGCTCACACTAAGCCTGGTTGTGCTGGAGGTGTCCTACTGTTCATAGGGAGTTTTTCCTCTCCACTGTCGCTACAAGCATCCTTGGTGTGAGGGATTCCTGAAGAGTCAATGAGTTGATGCAATCAACTGGTTTTCCTTAGATAGAAGACTTTGAATCAATCTGACTGGATTATCTAGTTGAATTGTCTCTATAAAGTGACCTTAGATGATGTGGTGTGAATTGAAGCTAGAGAAATAAACTGAATTGAATTAAAAAGGAACCCAAAATAAATCTTAGTTACTTGGTTTTAAGGTCTTAACTGCGTCTTACATTTGAGCTTTCGACTTTCACCTGTTGCTGCTCCTTCTTAGCTCTAGTCTTTATTTTGTCTGGAAGGAAAATATCAACTTTTTTAAATAGTCAAAGACCAAGCTCTTATAGAAACCCCCATTTACAAAGTGACAGTATCTGTGCTTTGTTCTCAGCTAGTGTATAACTTAAGTTCCACTGTGTCTACCTTAGAGTAAAGGCCATGTTATGTTTTATGTCAATGTTAAATATGATGTATAACAAAAATGACCGAAATTGCATAATGCTTAATTCTATATAAAAGAGGGTAAAATAGTACAGTCCTGTTTTAAATATGCAGTTTTGTTACAAGGACAAAAACATAAAAAAATGTAATTTCATTTATTAGGATGATGTTGCATTATATGTTTGTTGGTGAACATAAAATGATTTTTGCAGGACTGATAGCTGCACACACAAACACACAGATATTATCTCTGTCACTATGTTGAAGGAGGAAAAAGTTTTCACACCTACCTGATTTCCCTATGAAGGCGTTGGGCTAAGGTTCCATGTCTCTTTATCTACGGAATGAGGAGAAAGTGTCTGCCTTGGTCTTTCTACCCACTTTTCCAGCTGATATTACTAAGTAATCTTAAAACATTAGACATTGTTTTGCTTTGATGAAGTCTGATAATCTCTCATATGCAATAAAAACAGGAGCTGGGATTAGAACTGCTATGCACCGAAAACGGTTTCAGCATAAAATCTTCAGGAAAATAAATGCTAGTGCTGTTTGCATTTATTTGCAGAATTCATTTACAAGTGCTGCTACCTTGACGTGTTCAGACCATAGCGGGCGCTTTGATAAAACTTTTGAAAGAACGTTCACTTACTCAAACCTTGACAGTTGAAAAAGTATTTCTAGAAGCCACAAAAAAAATTGAAATGATTTTTTTCTTGGAATTGAATCCAGTTTTTATTTGGTGGGAAATTATAGGAAATGTCAACTTTTTAAAATGAACGTGCTTTTTGTAGAGTTTTAATTCCTCAAAAACCACATCAAACATCAAACACCCCTTCCTCCACTGAATGTTTGCAGTAAAGACATGTCAGACACTGGCCAGTGACTCCTGATGAGCCCTGGAAACTCATCATATCATTTGACGCATGTCTGATCTCCCTCTGCTTTTGAACACCTTCAGTCATTATTGGTTTTAAAATCTGCTGGATCAGTTTAAAGGTCTACTGCAGGCGGGGGGTGGGGGGGCATTAGGCAATATTAGGCAGTTCCCCATAAAACTCTGTTTACATGTGTTGTTAATACAACTATTCCTTTTTGTGCACATTAATTATGTTTTTGATAAAAATCCTTTCGCTCAAATGCCATCAGAACCCTTATAAGATTAAGTGTGTCTCAGCCCCCCCTTCAGTGTCCACCATATTGGATCAGTCCATGTGCTGCACATGTTCAGAAAGGTCCAAACAAACAGCAGCAAACCATTTGAACACAAACAGTGTGAAGAGCAATGTTGCTAACTTAGCGCTTCTGTCGCTATATTTAGCGACTTTTCAGACCTAGCGCCAAATCTAGCGACTTTTTTCTGCTTCTGGAGACTTTGGCGACAACATCTAAAAGCAGCGAACTCTGCTCTCCAGAGCCAGTAGATTGGTAACCCCGCCTCCTGCTCTCCTCTATCTTGTCTGCTGTCATGATTCATGCAGCTATTATTTCATCCAAATGAAAAATGGAGAACAGAGAAGCAGATCATGGCTTGGCTACAGTGAAAAGAAGGACTGGGTTATTTACTTTGGCCTTTTTGGAAACACAGGAAGGAGCAATCAGCTAAGTGAGCTTAGAGCTTGGAAAAAATCTTTCATTCCTTTAGAGACAGCATGAAAAGTCAGCTGAGTATAAAACAGAGAGAGGAAAACAACAAGAAAAGAGACAAGAAGAGAGGGACACAACCTAGAACAGATAATGGAAGTCTATATATATAGACTGTTTTATGTGTTGTCTTCTCATTTCAGAGGGCCCCCTGCCTGTCTTTGCCTAAGGCCCCAAATTTATTATATTCGCCCCTGACTACAGACTTCCAGTAAGTGTGTTTGTTATGCTTACAGGATTTACCACCATAACAGATAACTGGCCTGACAAAATTAGTTGACAGCGTGAAAGCAAAATCTTAATTCTTCAAGTTACTGGGAAATGTTTTACTTTCTGTGTTCAAATTCCCCAAATAAAAATTAAAATGCCTCCATTTAATTCCTCTTTGCAGCACATTTCAAATCTTAAACTTTTACCAGTTTTCATTCTTGTGATTTTGTTTTAATACCAACACCAAAAACATAAAGATGCGTACCACATGCTAACACTGAGGCGATGCAGATGAAGGAACAGAGTAACCTGAAGCTGAGAGAAGCTCTCTTTAATTGGATGTTTTATATGTTTTTAAGATGCTTTTTTCTTTCATAGTTTTTTTATGACACAAAGGAAATGACTTGTTTTTAAGTGTTTGATTTTTATAATTACATTCACATTTGCTGTCATGGACTATTAACCACACCCGGACCAAACAAAGTTGTGTAGTGAATGGCTTTTCAAAGTTTTATTGAAAATAAAATGTTGCTCATATACTAATATGTGTGATATTAAATAGGCGGTTTTCCTATTTAAACATTTTGAGTCATGTTCTTCTCAAACGCCAGAGGTTGCCATGACCACTCTCAGCGTGATGCAGTTTTTACTCTGGTTCCTAAATGATTTGCTCACAGAATGTTTCGCTATGGTCCTTGCTGGTACCTTTCCTCAGATACCTCATCATACTCCTGGCAGATTTGGAGTTAAAATAAAACAATTGTTTTTTTGTTTTTTTATTGGAGGTAAAATCAGCATTTCGAATTGTTTCCCAGCTGGAGAGCCATCCTGAATATGAAGATCCAGCTTGAGATTGGCGTAAGAAGGCGCTTCACACCTTTGAGTAAAATCCTCGTCATATTCAGAATTCAAACTTCTGAAAGTACTTTAAATATGAAATGATTACATCCTGTTCAATAAATGATAAGTGTATTTAATTAAGAGTAATTTTCATTTGAATGTGCTTTACTGGAGGCATCCATGTTTGTCAAAGAACACTACTGCCACCTACTGGTTAGTGACGTCACGGTGCGGTATCGGATGTTGATCAAGTCCCAGTGCTGTATCTGGTGTTTGTCACAACGCGCTATTATCCAAGTCATCTTGAAAACATTCTTCTTCCAAATGTTGGCTACATATTACGTGTTTTTTCTCTGACCAGAAGTTCGATGGCAAATCCTCCCTCTTCAAGTTGGCAATCCAACGACGAACCCGTCCGTGGAGGATCAGGAATCAGAAAGGTGAAATAATTTCTTTTTTTCTACTTTTACCCGATGTATTCCAGCATCCAGCTGCCATGCACGTGGGCATTGTCAGTTTCACTATAGCTCTGGTGAATTTCATTGGTGAAGTCCTCTGGAAATCTTCAATAATTGTTGTTGATTGCAGATGTGTCTAGTAGTTCCCATTGATTTTGCTTGTAAAGCGGGGAGAATGGCGCTAGGCTTACCGCACCGTGACGTCACTGCTGGAAGATGGCAGGAGGGAGGGGTTACTATATTTGGGCAAAAATGGCCGCTCCCTGACTCAGTGATCACAAAAAAATATTGTTTTTATTTTGTTACCGATTAATGCTAAATTCATGAAATCTCTGTGAACGTATTAGTTTTAGGTATAAATAATGATCCATTGATCATTCCTTGCTGACCGGACTTTTCCTTTAAAGACTGGAACTCTCCACCAAAGGTAACTTGTCAAAACGTCCAGAATAACATGAGGGAATGTTAGATCGCTGTTATGTCAATCAACGTTTTTGGGGGATTTTTGAGGAAAATAACTACATATTATTGTTGACATGTTACTCCTAATACAATGTATTTTTAAAAATGCTGTTATTTGAATTAAAGCAGATCAATTTCCCTCAGATCCAAACGTGCCAGGCGTATGAACAATTTTGGGCTTGTTTTATATATATATTCACACAAAGCAGGAAAAATATTATGTACACTGTCTAATTTGCTTGCTTTAACCCATGAGTCCACCTTTCTGCTGGAGCTGTATTGGAGGTTTCTTGCCCGAGATGCTAATAATGCTACAACCAGTCCAAAGGTTGTTAGCATCTGTAGCTTTGTTACGTTTCTCATCATGCAGTTCAAACAAGGAAAAAGTCCCTTAAAAGTTCGGTTCAGCAACTGAGTCTAACTGGGCGTAATTCTGGTGACCAAACACTGGTCCATCTGGGATATCTTTTGTTGTTGATGATGATTGGATTGAAGGTTTACAGTCGAGACATCAACTGTATGACCAGTCGTTTAGAGATGGCGTTGAAGGTATTAGAGCCGGATGAACGGTGAATTTACAGCCGGTTGGGTGAGTCATGGCTGGACTTCACACAGGTCGGTCCACAGCATACTGACAAGGGCTCAGATTGGACACGGGATTCTGTACCGCTGGATAAGCAAAGTTGGTGTGCTGTTTGGCTTTGAGCCGTAGGCTCGCCAAGCTGGAGTTGCAAGTGTCTCTGTACATGTAGGGAGCGGCTGTAGTGGCGTAGGGGCATGTGGCTGCAGTCACTGCTACGGAGTTGAGCGCCGTAGGACTGTTGAGGTTGTTGAGGTTCCCCAGGTTGTTTAGCCCTGCAGCAGGGACCCCGCCTACAGCTGAGGGCACCATGCTGGAGGCCATGTTCATGGAGGGGATGGAACTCGGGGGTGAGAACATAGGCTGGGAGGACAGGGGGGTTACATTCATTGAGTTGAAGAAGGGGAAGCTTTTGGCGGAGAGTGGACTGCTTGCTAAGCCCTTAGTGGCCCAGTTGTTGTAGGAATATCCTGGGTACATCTCATCGTACGGCTGCATGAGTCCATTGAACTGGGCACCAAAGCCATTCTTACACAGCTCCGCCTGCTGGTTCCTTTCCCTTTTTCTCCACTTTGCACGTCGGTTTTTAAACCACACCTGAGGCATAAGAAACAAAGAAGGTCAATGATTAGTTTCTTGCTGCTGCAAACCTGCAACACTCAATCATGTGGTAGCTATAGATCCCCCACGTAAAACTGAAGTAAGGAAGCAGATTTGGGTTTGTGAAAAGGAGGTTTTTGGGGTTTTTTTTGTTTGTTTGTTTGTTTGTTTGTTTTTTTGGGGGGGTATGAAGTAACACAAATGTTGTGTCTTATACTTACCTGCAGATGGTGCCACCATGCAAACCTGGAATGGAGCAGTGGAACGGAGTGGCAATCTAATCTCGATGAACTGTAGGTTGTGTCATGTGTTTGAGGCAGTCACTCTCGGACGATTTTAAAATTCCCCCCGAACATTTTTTTAGGTCTGAAAAGTAGGACATGTCCGGGAAAAGGAGGACGTCTGGTCACCCTAGCTTAATGCTCTACGTTAACGTGCCGAATGTTGGCAAACAGTTTGTTATAGAGGCAGGGCTGCCAGGCCCCCATGAAAGACAATGATATGACTAAAGCCCTTCCCCCCACCAAATAAAACATTAATTTATGCAAGCTTTACAACTGCTATAAGGATGCACCAAAGAGTATCATTTACTTTTACATTAACAATGCAAATTCCACGGTACAATTTCAATCAAGGAAAATTATCCTCACACATAAATACATTAAACTTTATATTTAAAATCATCCTCTCTAAAAATAATAATAGATTATTATGAACAAAAAAAATTGATTTGAAGGGAAGGAAAATATGTTCTTAATTTTGAATATATGATGGGTTGGTAAATATATTTAAACATATTCATGCTTTGTTTCGCTGTTTAATGCTGAAAGATCAGTGAGAACACAAGGATAATTAGTTTTACTGCGGGATTTTCTTTTTACATTTCACATATCTAGTTGGACATATCTTTTCTTCTTTTTTTTGGCCCCCCAGGTCAAGGGCCCTTGGTATCTTCCTAACTTTTCCCCCCATACGGCGCCCCTTTATAGAGGAAAAGTTATCAGCTGCTTGTTTTCCTATCCAACAGCAGACTGGTAACCAGGTGATAAACTATTTCCCACTGGTTGAGGCGGTATATTATCTCCCTGCAGAAGATGAACGTGATCTAACACCTTCACTCACTTGATGAATCTGACGTTTGCAAACTAGACAATTTAGCAGAGAAAACTCTAAGAGTTTCTTAAAATAATTCCTTTCTGAAAACTTCAGCTGGAACTCATGATCTCCCTCTAATTATGTGTGCATGAGCGAAGACATGACAATCTCTCAAAGTAAGTGGAAAAGTATCATCAAACAGTTATTAAGCACAGCTTATTAGAATTTCTGAACAGTGAAAGGCGTGTCAGGAAAATTAGTGATTTCACGGTTTCATATTTATAGGATTTAAACTGGATTAAACCCTTGGTTAAAATTTCAGCTGAAGAAATTAATTCTGAGGCAAGTTCATTTGTGGGAGCATTTATAAAGAAACTTTGATATAAAAGATTGTTTGAAGTAATTCTGATCATTAACTGCAGTCAAACAGCTTGAAGGAGGAAGTTGGATTCGTTAAGATGCCAGATTTTAGCAAAATCCCAACTAACACAGAAGCGACCTCTGAGATCAGGTGATTTGATTAAATTTCTTTGCCAGATTCAAACATTTAACAAATTACTCAGGCAAGCAGGACTAAAAGAGGACACGTCTAAACCAAGCTGGATTTAAAAGGTGCTTTTGCTTCCCACTCTATTGTGGCTTCACATCCTCTGATAGGATTTGCATTCAATTTTAGAAGCAAATCAGAGCCTTAAGGTGTAGATGTTGCCTCTTTCACTTTTGTTTGCACGTTTATTTTAATACAGTCCAAACACTTTTCTCTTTTAAGCCCTGAGGGTCTTAGGAGCAAGTTCTGCCTGAAATTACACATGTGGTTCTTACATATGTAAAATGCAAGTACCGCTCCCAAACTATAAATTGAAAATACAATTGTGTGACAGAAAGGCATTGAGGAATATCTTTCATGTAGAACCACTATATTAAATGTCACCAAATTTATAGGTGATTAAAAATTAAAAATATTTAGCCTTGCCAAAAAGAAATTTTCCAAAATAAACACTGCAAAACATCATGAAAGCCCATTTGAAACTCTGGATGAAACCAGTCCAAAGACTATAACTTTTGTTTTGTCTGCATTCAGAAGGAGAAAGTTAAGAGTCATCCACATTTTTATGTCTTCAAGATTTGCCAGTAATCTATGTAATGGGTTAACTTAATCTGGATTAATATACAGATATAGCAGAGTATCATCAGCATAACAGTAGAAATAAATCCCATGCTGTCTAATAATTAATCCCTTTGGAAGCATATATATAGTAAAGACAATTGGTCCTAGCACTGATCCTTGTGGTACTCCACAGGAAACCCTTGAGCATGAGGAAGATTTGTTGACTCACCAGAGCTGTTTCAGTGCTATGATGAGCTCTAAAGCCAGACTTAAACTCTTCAAAAAGTTAATTATGGTGTTAAGTGGTTGCACACTTGTTTGGCAACTACTTTCTCAAGAATGTTAGATAAAGGCAGATTGGATATAGCTCTATAATTGACCAAGTCATCTGGGTCAAGAGACAGTTTCTTAAGCAAAGGTTTAATTACAGCAACCTTTGGTACATATCCCTGTAACAGGGATCTAAAATGGAGGAGGAGATTAAAGGGAGTTCTTCCTTAAATAACCTGGTTAGAACTGGATCTAACGTACAAGTTGAAGGCTTAGATGAAGAGCAGTCTAGACCCGGTTCAGATTCTATGGCAACCTCAGATGTTGCCTCACCTTCTACAGATAAACCAATCATAGTTAGAGGAGTGCTAATGATCTTATTTTTTTGATAAGGTCAATCCTATTTATAATGAATGCCATTAAATCATTACTTCTAAGAGCAGGTGGAATGGTTGGTTCAACTAAGCTATGGCTGTGGGTGAGTTTGGCAACTGTATTAAAAAGAAATCTAGGATTATTCATATTCTCCTCTATTAATGAGGAGAAATATGCTGCTCTTGCTTTACAAAGGTTCTTCTTATATAGCAGTAAACTATTTTTCCAGACTAGGTAGGATTACCCTAGGCCTGTGGACTCAGATTTTCTCCTCAGTGTCCTAGCATTTTGCTTCAGAGTGCGTAGCTCTGCATTAAACCAAGGAGCCAGTTTTTCATTTTCAAAGAGGCTGTGTTGTCTAAGGCAGTACGCAGAGAACTAGCAACCCCTTCAACAAAATCATCAACTTGTGAAGGGGAATTAACTAAGCTTTTGCCCTCTGCAGCACTGCCTCGCAACACAGAGTAGAGATAAAGTGAAAAAGATTCTTTAAAATGTATATCTGCACTATCTGATAATGATCTGCAAAAGTGAAACCTTCTTTTGGGGAAGGAGGACTCTGATAAAGTAGTCCTGAAGGTTATTAAAACATTTTCAGAGAGGACAGGGTTGTGAGGAAATACTGTTATTTCTTCACATTCAATGCCATATGTCAGCACAGGGTCCAAAGTATGAAGATGAGAATGTGTGGGAATATTCACATTTTGAACAAAGCCAATAGTGTCTAAGATAGCATCAAAGGCTGCTCTTAAGCTAGCGCCTTCAATGTCAGCATGAATGTTAAAATGTCCCACTTTGATGACCCTGCCAGTATTTAATACCAAATCAGAAAGAAACTCTGAAAACTCATCTAAAAATTCAGAGTAAGGACCTGGTGGACGATACAAAGTTACAAAAAGAAGAGGTTTTCTTGGCTTGCAATTTGGATGAGGGAAACTAAGGGTTAAATATTCAAAAGAGTTGTAATTATTAACTGCCTTTGGAGTAATCAGTAAGTCAGACATTGTTACTGCACCCCCTCCTCACCAAGAAATTCTGGGTATGTGAAAATTTAAATAACTAGAAGGAGTTGCCTCATTTATTCTCACATGGTCCTCTTGCTGCAGCCAGGTTTCTGTAAGGCAATATAAATCAATGTGATTATCACAAATCAAGTCATTAACTAGCAGACTTTTTAACCTTATGTTAAATAAACCATATTTAATCGTTTTAACTTTTTCCCCAATCAGAGTTATTTTATTTTTAATTAGATTATCATGATTTACTCCTTTAGGAATCTTTTCTGATTGATTAGATTTTGGTCATGGGTAAGACACTGTTTGGATAGTTTAAAGAGTAGGTAACAGTGGAGAAGCTGCAGAGACATGTGTTAAACTACGACTCTGCTTCCTGGTCTGCCGCCTGGGTTGTTGATGATGGCCGAACAGTTTGCACTCTTTACTGCAGATATATAAAAGATATGCAGCCTCTTCCCACTAAGAAAGAAGGTCCTCGCTGGACCAATCCATAGTGCCAGCATGCTTCAAGTCTGCCACCGGTCCCAAAGAAGCCTCAGGTCACCTCATTCAATGATTACCAGCCTGTCGCACTTACTCATATCATGATAAAGTGCTTTGAAAGGCTGGTTAAAGAACACATTGTCTTCAGTCTGCCCCCAACTTTTAACCCGTTCCAGCTCGCCTACCGACGAAACCGCTCCACTGAGGACGCCATCTCCTCTGCTCTTCACCTGAGCCTGGCACACCTTGAGAAGAAGAACACCCACGTGCGGATGCTGTTCCTGGACTTCAGTTCAGCTTTCAACACCATCATCCCACAGCATCTGATGGGCAAACTGGAACAGCTGGGATTCAATACACCCCTCTGCTATTGGCTGCTAGGCTTCCTCACCAACAGACCTCAGTCAGTCTGGGTTGGACAGAACACCTCTGATGTCATCAGTCAAAGCACAGGCTCCCCTCAGGGCTGCGTCCTGAGCCCCCTGCTGTTCACCCTGATGAAACATGACTGCGTCCCCAGGTTCACCACCAATCACATCGTGAAGTCTGCAGACGACACCACGGTGGTGGACCTCATCAGAGACGACAATGAGCAGGGCTACAGAGAGGAGGTGGAGCCGCTGGTGGTGCAGAGACAACAGCCTGATCCTGAATGTGGAGAAGACGAAGGAGATCATCTTGGACTTCAGGAAGAACCGTCCTAACCACGCTCCACTGCTCATCAACAGCTCAGCTGTAGAGGTGGTCAGCAGCACTGCATTCCTGGGGGTGCATCACAGACACCCTCACCTGGAATGTAAACACCACCTCACTGGTCAAAAGGGCACAGAAGCGCATGTACTTCCTGCGGAGGATGAAGAGAGCCCACCTGCCCCCACCCATCCTCCCCACCTTCTACAGAAGCACCATAGAGAGCGTTCTGACCAGCTGTCTCACTGTGTGGTGTGGAGGCTGCACCGCCTCAGACTGGAAGAAGGTGAGGAGAGTGGTGAGAACACAAGATAAGATCCTCGGGGCTCCTCTTCACTCCATAAATGACATTTCATCCCAGCGCACCATTACTGTCTAAGTCTGATAGTGGCCTTCAGCTCATCTAATATGCTTGCATCCTTCTCTCAACATTAAGCTTTCTGTATGGAAATGTGAGTTTTCTGGCCAGTGAAGCCCAGTAAGGACATGGTCTTTAAAATGTGTATTGGTACCTGTGGCAGTGCTAGCAGCTGCCAAGTCTTGCTGGAAATGCTGCTAGACAACTCAGCTTTCATTTAGCTTTAAAAACATTGGACCAACAGCAGCCGACTACATGCATTTCTAAATAATCACTGACTGTTTGAAAACACTTGACCTTAAAGAAACAGGAATCTGTTCCTGTTTACTTGTTTAAGATCCCAAACTCTGGGGGCCTTTATTGCTAATTACTTTTATGTGAAAGGTCGAGTATGGGCCGCTATTCAAGTCTGTTTCCTCCATAACACGGGTCAGAAGTAATGCAAGGGATGCAATACTTGTAGGACATGTTCTGTCTACCACAGAAGGAACTCTAGAAATCACAGCCAAGCATTGAAACCTTCCCTGAAGTCATCCGTTCTCCTAGTAATGGGGTTAGCCTTTTCTCCATTTTCTAGCCCACTTTTATCCTCCTTTGGGCAGTGGCGCCTCCAGAAATGTTTCATGGGGGGCAGATGGGGCCACTAAAAATCTTGGGGTGGCACACTGAAACTGAAAGCCATAATTTCAGGGTTTTAATATGCGATTGTGGTAAACCTGCCAGTAGAAAGACTTAAGTAAACACCTACTCATATCTTGGTTTATTGTGTGATTTTTAATGTTGCGTCACTGGCTGTACATAATGGGATGGAATGCTAAACTGATGGTACTACAATTTACACTGGCCAGTGGCCCTTGGCCACCCTCTGATTGCGCCACTGCCTTTGGGAAAACTTTAATTTGGGGTGCTTTTACTAGTAGCATGCTCTAAACTGTAGATATTCTAGTAATGTCCAGTAATGCAGTTGGAGTTTCCATTAGTACAATAATGTAATTAAAGTCTCAGGTGAATAAGTTTGTTCTGGAAATAGCTCATTCAGAAACACGTCTTCTTCTTTGCCAGTTGTAACATCTGGGTGTTGATCAGCTCATCTCCGAGCATTTGATAAAAACACTGACCAAGTTTTGCATGATTTCAGTGATTCTTGCATGTAAAAAGCTATTCAGGTGTGAATTTAATTCCGTTTTTAATGAGATGTAATTTTGCAACTGCTTTTTTTTTCAGACAATAGCAGCATATCTACCAAGTTTTTTATTTTTTTTGACAGAGACAGCCCCTTTCAACAGAGAAGGGCTGGTTATACTTCCGCAGCAGTGTGTTGCAGTGAGCTTGTCGCAGGTATGATGCAGATATTTTTGATTTATGTCCAATATTGAAGCGTGGTCTGCGTTATGTTATCCCACGCCACAATGCAAGAGGGCCAATCAGGAACTAGCTGTGGGTCTGAGTGGGATCCAGGTGGAAAAAGGGTCCCAGCATTCTCACGCATCTCGCTCTTCTAGCTGGTTCATCTTCACGAGTCATTTTCCACAATGGCCGTCATACAAACAAAACAAGCCGGTAAGGTACCAAACAGGAAATATGCAAAGTCTAGAGAGGATGTAGATTTGACCAATCAGAGGCCTCCTGTCTGTGGTCACCTACAATATTGGAGAGCTGCAGCAGAGTGTCTGCGGAAGGGGCGGGGCATATCTGCATTAACTGCGACACACATGCAGACGACCTGGTTTCTGGGTATAAACCTGCCTTTAGCTGTGGTTTAAATGCTTCATTCTTCTGCAGGCCCCAAACAGGGAATCCTAATACAGGTCATGTAACTTAAAAACAAAGATATTTCATTGAGATCATGAGAGAGATGCAGGACACCCACCCTGACTCGAGCCTCAGTGAGGTTGGTCCAAACAGCAATCTCTTCTCTGGTGCTCATGTCTGGGTAGCGGTTTCTCTGGAAGGTGGCCTCCAGCTCCTGGAGCTGTTGGCTCGTAAAGTGAGTCCTCTGCCGTCGCTGCTTCTTCTTCAGAGAGCCGTCGTCAACACCTGGCTCTTCCAGCTTATTCTGTTGGGATTTCTCAGTGTCTGCAGAGAAACAACAGGAAGGCAGTTTGTTTACGTCTGTTACTGTGGAAGGAGAGATTTAAAGAAATGGCCCACACCATGCTAGATTAAACATTGATTTTCTCAGTTATCAGTGACGACAGAGATCAGCTGTGAGCCACTGCTTAGCTATCTATAGAAAAAGACAGATGGGTAAATCATAGATGTCTAAAAACGTCTAAATTGCTGGTTTTGTCCTCAGAGACTGGCTGATATTGTTGCTTTTTTACTGGCAAACATATAGCGCATTGGATTATATTATTTTTCTACTTCTTTCACAGTAATATATCATTACATAATTATCTTTTGATATTGACAGTTGTGTCTAATGTTAATTGTTATCAATCTGTATAACATCTAAATTGATACCAACTTTAAAGTAGACATTTTGAATTGAGAAAGCTTCCTGGATTGGAAGCTGTTTTTAAACTTTTTAAAATTTTGTTGGAAAAACTTTAACGTTAACCCAGAAAATCTGTCTTTTTTCATGTGAAAAATTGTTTGGATTGTATATCATCTGTGCTGCTGCCATCAACACCTTTGTTTATAGATGTTAGAGATCGGCCTGTTTTCCAGTGTGTTTCTCTGACTGTGACTAACTGGATGTGCTCTCTTCATCCTCTAACATAGGAGCTGGCTCGGAGCTCGTCTGCCTGGCTGTGTGTTTCCTGGAGTGGGCCGCCTGTGGAGCTGGTTGACAGTTGTCTTTTGTATCTCTGCTTCTTTTTCTATGTCTGCTTCTGTCTCCTTGAACCCCAGTCGGCCTCGGCAGATGGCCGCTCACACTGAGTCTGGTTCTAATGGAGGTTTCTTCCTGTTAAAAGGGAGTTTTTCCTCTCCACTGTCGCTACTAGCATGCTTAGTGTGAGGGATTGTATTTGAGTCAATGAGTCGATGCAATCAACTGGTTTTCTTTAGATAGAAAACTTTGAATCAATTTGACTGGATGATCTGGTGAACTGTAAAGTGCCTTGAGATGACATGTGTTGTGAATTGGCGCTATAGAAATAAACTGAATTGAAATAAATAAATAAAAACACCTCTTCTTTTTTATGCCATTTTTATGTTGAAGTTCTTTCCAGGTGTAGAATCTATAGCTTAAATTTACAAGATTTAAAAAAAGGAAAGAAATGTTATGATATTAGATAATTTGATGATATTTTTGAATAGTTCAGCACTTTTAGATGCATGTACTTTTGAATACTTAAGCATTTTCAAAAGTGAGTACTTTAATAATTTAACTAGAATAGATGTTTGACCCGAGTAACTTTTTACTTGTAGTTGAATTAGATTTGACTACGAGTATCATTACTTTTACTCAAGTACCACTGTTCAGTGCTTCATCCATCGCTGCATTTAACTATAATTTAAAGAAATAACATATTTCATTTTTAAATGGGTTTCATGGCAACTAGATACAGAAATTCCAAAGAAAGAAAACTAAAAACAATCCACTGGACTTTATTTCCAAGTTTGAAGACGTTTCTCTTGCCATCCAGGAAGCTATTTTAATTTAAAATGTCAGAAATAGCGTTGAGTTCAAGGTTTTATAAAGTAGCCCAACAAAAGCCTTGTTTTGGCTTAGAAAACATTCAAATGGAAACGGACGAAGGGGTCAGCCCCTTTGGAAAGAGGGTCGTTTTGCTTCTTTGTTAGCCTGCAATGCCCTGTACCTGTCTATGTCCCTGAAAGGGGGTTGTTAAAGGGAATTGTTGGCCTGGCTGACTGGGCGAGGTCCTCCGTGCTCCTCGTCAGAGGCTGCAGTTGTGATGATAGCGGTAAGGAATCAACTCAATCGCTGCATTGTAGGATTTTGGAAGCTGAAATCTGAGTCCACCCCCTCTGTATAAGGTTGTTTTTTTCTTTTTTAACATAGATGCACTGCAAATAGTGTAAACTAATTCTTAAATTTAAGGGTATTTACCCTTAATTTAAGCAGTTAAATAATATTTCCCAATGGAATCAGTATCTTTTACTAAAATAAGATAATCAGATAATTGCACTTGAAATAAGAAAATAAAATAGTTTTTTTCTTATTTTAAGTGTAAATTGTGTGTAATTGTTCCATTAGTGAAGTATCTCACTTACCTCCTCATTATAAGACAAAAAGCCCATATTTTCAGAAAAAAATTACTTGTTTAAAAAAAAAAAAGGACTTATTTAGAATTCGTTTTTTGCAGTGTGGCTTGCTTCTTGCCCCTCTCAAACCACCTATTTTCTTTTTCCAAAATTTGAACATTCTGGTCCTCAAAAGAATGTTCTTTGTCCATAAGGTGTAGATGTACTGCAGTCTTGTCCCAAAGGAGGTCGCTCTTCTGTGTTGGGCCATGCAATGCGCCATACATTGGGGCATTGCAGGCTAACAAAAGAAGCTAAACGACCCCCATTCCAGAGGGGTGGACCCATTCGTTCGTTTCTATTTGCATGTTTTCTAAGCAAAAACAAGGCTTTCTTGGTCTACTGTATAAAGCCTCAAACTCAACGCTATTTCTGACATTTTGAATTGAAAAAGCTTTTTGGATGGGAAGCAAAACGTCTTCAAACTTGGAAACAAAGTCCAGTAGATTGTTTTTAATTTTCTGTTTTTGGAATGATTACAACCTGGATGACTGAGAATCTTCACCAGCATAGAGCAAGAGAGTCAAACAGACAACTTAAAAAAAAAAAAAGTCATTTAAAAAGTCAGTTCTAAGTAGAAATCACAATGAAACCAAAAGATGCAGCAGCATCCAGCTGATTCACTACATTTCATATAGGTTTCCCTTTAAAGATTTAACCTTAATCTATAAATTAGTCTAATTTCAAATTCCTTTTTTGACTAATAAATGCTTTAGAAACATTTGCACGTAAACATGTTTTAAGATTAGTATTGGTACTAATCTTAAAAATTCAAAATAAGTCAAAATCTTCTGTTTGCGTGAAGCTCATTCTCATCCCAGCCCAGACTCAGCTGAATGACAAATCATCACTAAACCTTCTTCCAGGCACAACACTGAAAACCACAGTTGTGGCACAATACTGGGAAAATAAAAGCAAACAATTATTCCATGCAGGAAGGATCGGCTGCTGCAGTGGTTGAATGTTATTGGCTCCTCGCTGCCACATCAAACTCCTGCAATACGAAGACCTCACAGAAAGAAGTGAATTTAGCTGCTGGCTAATCCTGTGGATCAGGCCTTTGTGACCGGCTCTGTTTGGCGATGGCTTAGTCTGTGGGAGCAGTTCAGAATGATCAGCTGGGTTTAAAAGGAGGCTCCACGGGGCCACCAGTAAAACCAATAAGGGCCCGGCTGAGGCAGTAAGCTGACACCGGCTAAGCTGTTCCTTAAGTCTATAACGCAGCACAAAGAGAAGCACTGATCAAAAACTGACTGAGTGATAATGAGCCAACATGAGGAAGCCACTGCAGGTCAGAGATTCAGATGATTTTCATTAGAAAAATGTATTTTAAAAAAACTAAATCGACTTTGAACGCAACTAAAAAAACAAGCCTGCAAATGAAAAAGTCCAAGTTTGGCTCTTTGCGGCTCATTAACTTCAAACCCTGAGGATCTCGTCCATAGGAGGCTAACGAAAGTTTTAATTTAAAGAATAAACTAATTAAAAGCTCAATTAGCACATCTCATATTCCTCTAGATGAGGGTTCTGCAAACTTTCATATAGAAAGAACCGTTTTGCCCCGAGTCTGGCTAAGTAAAAGTCATTTAGAGCCGCAAAATAATTTTAATTGCCCTTTTAATATAAAGCAACGTATCAGTTTTGTTAAATATCTGCCATTGGAAATTGGTTGCCATCTTAAACAACAAACATTTCATTAATTTTTTTTTTTTTTACCCTAAGACAATGAAAAAGTAAATGATTCATAAACATGAAGAATGGATATTTTTTTATAGGTTATGAGTATGGGCTGATTAAAAGAAGAATAGCTCTACAAAACATTTTTCTGATGCTTTTAATGTTATTCTGTTGTGAAAATTCTATTTAAATAGTCTTAATAGAAATAATAATGGTTTTAAGACTGGTATTTATTATTATAGTATATTATTTAGTTGCTTATATCTTTTTTTGCCACTATTAAGAGCCATTGTAGAGGGTCTAAAGAACCATATTGGGCTCTGGAGCCGCAGGTTGCAGCAGAGCCCAGATGATACAGCTCAGAGTCCTGCAAACCTTCACAATTACATCAGAAATATCTTATATGAAAGATTTTATGTTTCATCAAAATTAACTCACAATTTAGCAAAATAGCATTTCACTGTTTAAAATCCAAATAAGTCCTTTTTTCTTGAAATATGTGCATTTTTTCTTGAACTGAGGAGGAAAGTGAGACATTTTGCCAATTGAACAAGAAAAAAAACAAGTACATTTACTTATTTCAAATGCATATTATCTTATTTTAAGAGTAAAAATACTCATTCTGTTGGGAAATCATCTTATTTACCTGCTCAAATTAAGGCAAAATGCACCTTATTTGAGAAATGTTTACTTATTTCTAGATAGTTTTTGCAGTGTTGGTGCCTTTAGAGGCCAAAAAAATACAAAAATACTTTTGGCTGGTTGGTTTGAAAATCCCCAAATTATATCCTGAAATATTCCATTCAGATTTTTTAAAAATAAAAATATTGTGTTAAATCTAAGAAGAAATGATACAGTCGATTACATGAACACAAACACACAAAAAAACATTATTAGACAGCTAAATAAAAAGGTAGAATTTAACTGTCCATATTAAACCACTGGTATTTGTTCAGTGGATTTTATTTTTATTTTAAAAACGGCTTTTTTAAGAGAGAAAGGATTTTCACAGCAAATAGTTTCAGTAATTTTTGTTTCCGTTTTTTAGGACTTTATCACAGAATCAGAGGATGAACTGGTTTAATAAATGTTTCCTAAAATGTGAAGATTGCAGAAAGCTAAAAAGAGGAAAGAGTTCCCAGACTGACCGCTGTGGTCCTGGCCCTTACAGCCCGCCTCATGCTGCGGGGTCCCGGCGTCAGACAGAGACAGCGCCGGGCTGCGGGTCTCACTGTCGGTCAGCAGGTTGAAGTCCATCACCGGGCCCTGTGCGCGTCACAGCGCGCGCGCGCACATCCAGAATAGAGATGGAGGAGAAACATGTCAATATAATGTTGTTATGTTCAGGAAATCATTTCATTTCTAAACATGTCATCTTATCTTCAGCATTTTCAAAAAAAAAAAAATTAAATAAATAAATAAAAAAGATTTCAGCAGTTTGGCTTCAGGCCTTTTTAAAAGGTCTTTATAATTCTAAGCTTTTAGATTTGAACTGAATTATATATATATATATATATATATATATATATATATATATATATATATATATATATATATATATATATATATATATATATATATATATATATAAATTAAATTGATAGAAATGCATTTTTTGGTCCCAGCTTAAAAAGTAAACAGATGCATCTTTATATTTAAAACTCTCTCCGCTGGATGATCGCTTCCACGCGGCTGACTGACGCAGGACGTCCTGTCCTGGACTCTTTAAGGACAGCCTCCCTCTCATCTAAGGCCCGTTTCTGGTTCCCCTTCAGTTTCTGACATTGTTGGGATGAAGCAGAACCATTCAGATCCCTTAGATCAGGCCCAGGTAACCAGAAGCTCAGGTTACATCTAAATATACATTAAATATAAATATCCATCTATATAAATATTCATGTAAACACCCTGTGCAATGACCCGGTATAATGATCCTGCTATGGAGAAAAAAGCTGTCATATGTGCGCACTGTATATACTTTATATACAATCAGTTTGGCACCTTGTTTTTCTCTTTTGACTATTTGATGGAAAAACTAAACTTCTCCACTGTGAGATCAATAAAGTCAATCAATCAACCAATCAATCATGTCACTTGAAAATCTAGATGAAAAAGAGAGCAGAGAAATAAAAGCCAGATTGCCTTATTCCTATCATCTCTTTCCTTTCCAGTGGCATCAGAAGCTGCCAGAACTCAGAGATGAAAACTACAGATATTTCATTCCTAGATCTGTTTGAGAAGCTGAGGCTGCTCTAGCTGACACTCCCCTACTCAGTCATTTATCTACTAGCTGATGTAGACAACAAATATAAAGGGACTAAATAAAAAAAATGTATTTAGTCAAACAAACTAAATTAGATCAGTAGCATAGCATTACTGTAGGCTACTAAAAGAAAGAAAATTAAGCAAACACTGCAAAAACAATCTAGAAAAAATAAATAAAAGAATTCTTACATTACCTATAATTTAAGTAGGACAATATAACGATTTACCAATGAAATGATTAGATAATATGCACTTGAAGTAAGTCAATGTATTTATTCTTTCTTATTTTAAATTTAAATTGTTTTGTTCCACTGGCAAACCGTTTACCTCCTCAATTCCAGACAAAATGCACTAATTTGAAGAAGAGATTACTTATTTAGATTTTAATTGTTTGCAATGAAGGAAATTCTTAAAATTTGCCACAGCTATTTTCCTTTAATTTGAAAAGGTAATGATCAGCCAAAAGAATATTTTGCCTTTAGAATAAAATAATTCCACATTACGCACTTAAAATAAGCCAATAGAGCCTCAAATGTAAATATTATTATTCTGTTAGAATTGTCTGGATAATCTGCTCAACTCAAGGGAAATGGAAATCTTTAATCCAAGTCCAACAGATATTTTACTTAAAAAGTCACAAGTTTTAAACCAGATCTACATGCTTTAGATTATAGGAGCTGTTGTTGACTGTCAGTTGAAATTGCAGCTGGACAGAATAATCCATTATGAAAACAAACAAACGGGATAAACTTTAATATTAACTTATTTGGAAAAACATTTTTTATTTATTAAAATAATTGAACTTATTCTGGTAGAAAATTAAATTTTTAAATCACTTTAATAATTTAAACAATGCAAGAAATAATCTAGATATGGAAAATAAAAGCTCTAAAAACTAGGTAAAAAGGATCATTTACAAAGGTAACAAGTATTTTTTTCCATTGAAATTATTAGAAACAATTAAAAGAAGTAAGTTATTTTTTATTTTAAAGGTAAATTATCTTCTTTCGTGGATAAACTGCCTTACACTTATTAAGAAAAAGGCCCAGTTTTAATTAATAATACATTTTAGCAGTGAATAAAGAAACGTTTTAACTGAAAACTTCACTTAAGAGTTAAGATAAGAGGCCCGTTAATTCAGATGTCTTATAAAGGAATGATTTGAAGAAAATACTGAAGCGCTTTAGACAAATGGATCCAATTAATTTACAGAAAATAGTCAGTTTAAATAGATCCGGTTCATGCTTCAATTAGGAGAACAGGAGCGCGTGGTGGTTAGGTTCAAGATCTGAAGGTGAACCTAGGATGGAGGACTGCGGGATGCCCACGCACGAGGCAAAGGCCTCTGTGGAGGGGCCCCGACTAGTTCCTGGAGAACAGAGCTATCCCCCTCCCCCCTCCCTCGAACTTTAATGCAGCCTCGCGCTCCAACATGAAATGAGCCCGCGTGTTTAACTTTGATGTCGCGGTGCGGCGGAGGCCCTCATTTAAATGCGGCCTATATGATAATAACAAATAAATAATAATGAGAATCAGAAATCCTTTTTTTTTTACAGGAAATTGCCGGATCCATCTGGCGGCGCGCGCTCGGCCCGCAGCCTATTACCCTGGGAATTATTCATAAACGCGTCGAGAATTAATTCCCGGGATTAAGGAGTTGATTAAGATGTGTGTCACTTTGCTGTCTGGGAACTTATTAAGGCCTCCTGCAAGAGGCGGCAGATGGAATCCAGACCTATGTTTGTAGATGTTAATTTCCAGGCTGGTAGAACATCTATTTGCATAAGAGTGAAGGGCTGAGAGGCAGAGGACAGACCTGCGGCACAATCAGCAGCTAATAATTGCCTCCTCGCTCCGCACTCATCCTCATCTGGATTTTAATATGCTGATGGCATTAAAACACCACCAAAGTGTTCCAACTTTCATCATTAAGCTCTCTGGAAATGATCTCTCACTTTAAGAACATTTTCACTTCATCTGGGAGATTGAAAACTAAAAGACAGATTTTTTTTTTATTAAATTAAGGCTCATAAAAAGTGAGAAAAGGGGACAAAGATTGAAGGCCTAACAAATTCATGCGTGACAGAATCCACAGCAGTGGGCGTAAAATCAGGATTTCTGATATAAATCCGATATTTTTAATATTGCGCATTGAACCAAAGTGAAGGTTAAAAAGCAGCATCCCTGCGGCTGACTGGGAACCAGTTAAAGAACATTTCCATTTCCAGCCTGGGGCCAAACGTTAGCGCGGATTAAACAAATCTGTTCCTGCTGTCGGATGCGCGACTGGACCGGAACTGGACGGGAAGCACGCAAATCAGTCCAATGAGTTTCTGGGCTGGATTTTATTCAACTGAAGAAAAAAAAAAAATGAATCAAAACAACGAATTAAAGATCTAACACATGATTTTAATCATGTTTATGTTTCTGCATAGTTATTAAAGAATTTCAACAAATTAAAAAGGGTGATTGTGAGAAAAATAAGCATTAGATTAATCTATCTATAATTATCAGACGATAACGATGCATTTATCTAAAATTATTATTATGGTTGTTTTTTTTTCTTGTTCTTTTTTTTTCATTTGAAGTGAAGCCTCATTTAAAACATTTTTAAGTTCCCTTTTTCTTTTGCCTGCAGCCCAGAGGAGCTGCTGATGTGAGCTGAGAAATGATCAGATCAGAACCAAACAGGTGGAGATCAGCTGGATCAGAACCAAACAGGTTGAGATCAACTGGATCCGAACCAAACAGGTGGAGATCAATGATCAATGGATCAGAACCAAACAGGTGGAGATCAATGGATCAGAACCAAACCGGTGGAGATCAATGATCAATGGATCAGAACCAAACAGAGACGCGCACAGACGCGGATGGCAAGTGCCACTTACGTGGAAATGAATCCGTGGAAAGGACAGAGAGCTTCGCGTGGAGTTGCTGGGTTTTCTGGTGACATGAAAAAAAAAAAAAAAAAAAACAATAAAAAGGTCCAAGGTTTGGTAATAAAAAAAGTGAGAGGTGTTGGTGCTGATCCTGTCCCGCTGGTTCCAGCGCGCTGATAGAGCTGAAGCTGCAGGACTGAGGCTGGATCCTCTCAGAGAGGAGGACCGGCCGGCGGTGGGCGGTCTGCTGAAGAATGGACAGCCTGCAGGCTTTCTCTCCTCCTCACCTTTAGGCGACCTGCTCCTCCATCAACCCTGGAAGTTACATCACATCCCAGAATAATGAAGAACAACTAAAACATTGACAGAAACACCCTAACTTGTTTTGGTTCATGTATTACATCTGACATATTTTTCTAGGCCTACATTAGTGAAAATATTAGTTTGAGACCAGAAGGAGCTGCAAACTGCCATCTTCTCTGTTAAATGTCTCCTAAATTTAATTTGCCTTCAAAAATAGTCATTTCTGCTTAATTTTTTTGTTTTTAATTATCTGCTTACTTTGCTTTTGTATTTATCCATTCATATATTAGTGGGAATGATTCAATCTGAGTAAAAGAATGCAACAGTTTTTTTGCATTTTCTTAATCATATTTAGTTACTTTAACAGAATTGTTTCATTTTAGCAGGGTGGGACATAAAACAATTGTGTTAAAGTAACTAAATATGATTAAGTAAATGCTAAAAATTGGTTGCATTCTTTTTTTTTTCAGTGTAAAACTGTGAGAGATTCATTATGACTTTGTTTTGGACGGTGTGTGACTCACAGCTTTAAATTCTAGACAGTAAATAGTCTCAGACTGAAAAAAGAATAACACCCTTCCTGCTGAATTTCCTCCTTTACTGATGAAATCCTTTTGTGCATTTTGGTATTGTTTTACATGGATTGAAAACAATTAAATGAAATAAAAATGTCACAAAGTTTCATCTAAACTACTAAGCCTTTGCAGTTAGACCTTTTTTCATCAGACAACAGTGTTAGCTATAGCTGGCTTCATTATCATGTTGAGTTGTTATATTTAATTGTTTCTCATTAGCTTATGAGAATCTTACTTTTTCGTTTTGATGGAAATAAATTGAACTTTTTTTTTTACCTTTGTTATTTTTGTGACACATCTTTTCTTGATTCCTGTGATTCTGTCACACTTATTTCTGTTTTTTGTTTTTATTTGTTTAAGCGCAGGAGAAAAGTCTGGATGTTGAAGGAACTCCTCTATTCATGAGGCTAAATTCAAGTTCACTGTAAGTCCACGGTAAGTTGATGGTAAGTCAACGGTATGTTCACGATAAGTTCACATGTCATGTCAAGGCACTTTACAATTCAACGTGATCATCCAGTCAAATTGACTCAAAGTTTTCTATCTAAGGAAAACCAGTTGATTGCATCGACTCATTGACTCAAATACAATCCCTCACACTAAGCATGCTTGTAGTGACAGTGGAGAGGAAAAACCCCCTTTGAACAGGAAGAAATCTTCAGCAGAACTAGTCTCGGTGTGAGCGGCCATCTGCTGAGACCGACTGAGGTTCAACGAGATGGAAGAAGAGATACAAAAAGCAGCTGTAAAAGGTGGCCCTGTCTTTTAAGTCCACAGTAAGTTCATAGTAAGTCCATGGTAAGTCCAAGGTAAGTTCACAGTAATTCTACAGTAAGTCCACGGTAAGTTTACTCTAAGTCCATGGTAAGTTCTAAGTAAGTTCACAGTAAGATCATGGTAAGTTCACGGTAAGTTCTAAGTAAGTTCACAGTAAGATCATGGTAAGTTCACGGTAAGTTCACGGTAAGTCCATGGTAAGTTCACGGTAAGTGCATGGTTAGTTCACAGTAAGTCCCTGGTAAATCCACAGTAAGTTTATAGTAAATCAACAGTAAGTTCATGGTAAATCAACTAGGGCTGGGCAAAAAATCAATTTAATCGATTTATCGATTTTGTAGTTTAAAAAGATTTTTATTTTGCAAACTCGAGTTTTTTGTCAAAATAGTTTTTTCGGACTTTTCCGCGTTTCTTCCTTGTGGGTTACCGTAGCGCGATATTATGAGCCAGCCCCCGCCCTGCATAAACACAGTCAAAACATCATGGCAGCGTGTAGCAGAGAAGTAACGTCAAAGAAAGGCACAGGTAATTCCCTAATTTGGAACTGGTTTGGTTTTGATGCAGCAGACCAAACACAGACGAAGCCTTGCTGCAAAATTAGTTTCAAGGCTGTTGCTACTGGAAGCAGCAGTACAACAAATCTTTTCCAGCACCTGAGGAATAAACATCGCGAAGAATAGGAGAAGTGCAGCCGGCTCCGTAGCGAAAATGCCTCCTCTAGCAAACCTGCTAAAAAGCAAACTATACTTCCTGAGAGCTTTACAAACTGTGTGCCTTATGATAAGAAAGGAGCCTTATGGAAGGCGATTACAGAGGCGATCACGTTTTATATTGCCACAGACATGCTGCCAATTTATTCTGTCGAAAAGCGAAGCTTTAAACACATGTTGAAAGTATTAGATGCGAGGTACGATGTCCCCAGTCGCAAGTATTTCGCCGATGTAGCGCTGCCTCACCTGTACAATACAACCTGGGAAAAGATCCGCAGTGAGCTGGAGGAGATGCAGTTTTACTCAGCCACAACGGACCTGTGGTCCAGCCGGACGATGCAGCCATATCTGAGTCTGACGGTTCACTACATCAACAATAGTTGGACTCTGCGCAGCATCTGCCTTCAGACAGCGTATTTCCCTGACAACCACACTGGTGAGATAATTGCCCATGGCTTAAAAGACGCTCTCAGCTCCTGGGGACTTTTGGAGGAACGACTCGTCTGCATGACAACTGATAGTGGCACCAATATCATAAAAGCCCTTAAGGACAACAACTGGCCCAGCTTGCAGTGTTTTGGCCACAGACTCCACAATGCTATAGGTAAGAGTTGGTGTAAGAATAAATAGGTGCACATACTTGCACATTGTAAAGTATATTTCAATAATATATATATTTATATAATATATAATATAATATATTTCATAATTTAATAGCCAGAATATGTTATATATTTCAACAGGTTTACACACAGACATAAATTCATATTTACAGTTTATCTTAGTTTATTTACATAAATAAACCTGACTTTTCCATAATCTTCAATGCATTCATTATACACTGACCGGCCACTTTATTAGGTACACCTGTCCAACTGCTCGTTAACACTTAATTTCTAAGCAGCCAATCACATGGCGGCAACTCAGTGCATTTAGGCATGTAGACATGGTCAAGACAATCTCCTGCAGTTCAAACCGAGCATCAGTATGGGGAAGAAAGGTGATTTGAGTGACTTTGAACGTGGCATGATTGTTCGTGCCAGAAGGGCTGGTCTGAGTATTTCAGAAACTGCTGATCTACTGGGATTTTCACGCACAACCATCTCTAGGGTTTACAGAGAATGGTCCGAAAAAGAAAAAACATCCAGTGAGCGGCAGTTCTGTGGGCAGAATTGCCTTGTTGATGCCAGAGGTCAGAGGAGAATGGCCAGACTGGTTCGAGCTGATAGAAGGGCAACAGTGACTCAAATAACCACCCGTTACAACCAAGGTGGGCAGAAGAGCATCTCTGAACGCACAGTACGTCGAACTTTGAGGCAGATGGGCTACAGCAGCAGAAGACCACACCGGGCGCTACTCCTTTCAGCTAAGAACAGGAAACTGAGGCTACAATTTGCACAAGCTCATCGAAATTGGACAATAGAAGATTGGAAAAACGTTGCCTGGTCTGATGAGTCTCGATTTCTGCTGCGACATTCGGATGGTAGGGTCAGAATTTGGCGTCTACAACATGAAAGCATGGATCCATCCTGCCTTGTATCAACGGTTCAGGCTGGTGGTGGTGGTGTCATGGTGTGGGAAATATTTTCTTGGCACTCTTTGGGCCCCTTGGTACCAATTGAGCATCGTTGCAACGCCACAGCCTACCTGAGTATTGTTGCTGACCATGTCCATCCCTTTATGACCACAATGTACCCAACTTCTGATGGCTACTTTCAGCAGGATAATGCGCCATGTCATAAAGCTGGAATCATCTCAGACTGGTTTCTTGAACATGACAATGAGTTCACTGTACTCAAATGGCCTCCACAGTCACCAGATCTTAATCCAATAGAGCATCTTTGGGATGTGGTGGAACGGGAGATTCGCATCATGGATGTGCAGCCGACAAATCTGCGGCAACTGTGTGATGCCATCATGTCAATATGGACCAAACTCCCTGAGGAATGCTTCCAGCACCTTGTTGAATCTATGCCATGAAGAATTGAGGCAGTTCTGAAGGCAAAAGTGGGTCCAACCCGATACTAGCATGGGGTACCTAATAAAGTGGCCGGTGAGTGTACATTATGTATTAAACTGTGTTATAGCTATTAAAATTGTGATAAAAGTACAAAACAATTTTGAAAACTCACGTAATCAAATATATAGTTTGGAGTGACAAAGTATTCTAAATATCTTTTCACATTTATTACAGAGAATGGTGTGAAGGATCCAAGGATCGATCGGGCCATAGGGGTCTGCAAAAAAGCTGTATCAGCCTTCTCCTACAGCTCGAAAAAAAGGCGAGACATGACAGAGGTGCAGGCTGAGCTTGGACTTCCCCAGCATCTTTTGATCTCAGAATCCCCAACACGTTGGGGGTCTCGTCAAAAGATGATTGAGCGCTTTCTTGAGCAAGAGAAGGCAATAACTCGTGTCCTGGGTGCGGACAAGAAAACGCGTCATCTTGTTCCCACGTGGCAAGATTTGGAAGTATTAGAAGCCACCAACAAAGCAGTGAAACCTCTCCAGGACTTCACTGATGCACTGTCAGGGGAATCATATGTCAGTGTGTCATGCATCAAACCAGTGCTGCATTTGTTTAAAACAAGTCTCCTCCTGCCAGAGGAGGAAGATTTGGAGCTAACAAAAACAATCAAAGCTTACATCATGCGTTACCTCGAAAGTATATACTGTGATTTGGAGAAAGAGGAACTTTTGGACATGGCCACACTTTTAGACCCGAGGTTCCGTACAAATACATTGATACTAGCAAATTGGAAGTTGTCAAAAAAAGAGCAGTGTCTGAGATCGCTGCTCTCTGCAACTCTACCACAGAGGAAGCTGGTCCCTCAACTGTTCAAGAGAACACCCCGGC